TTTCTTTTCATTCACAGCTAAAGAGTCCTTAATGGAATTGCTGCTTATTTCAGGTGCTTGAACTGACCCCTTGTCCTTCTGAAGGGATAGAAAAAATTTACTGGCCTGGCTTGAAAAGTGAGATCCTGCATGTTGATCCCAATTCTCCTCCTCTTCACGGTCATCTGTTAAGGAATCTGGTACCTGTCCCTGAATTCGATCATACACAACCCCAGTTCCAGGAGGTCTACCTGCTGATCTTGGATCCCAGTAGCCATTGCCTTGCCAATAATTACGTGTCCCACTATACTGTTCTGTACTTTGCTGATACTTATGTCCACCACAGGCTCCATAGCTGCTGTCAGGTTGCTGGTATGTGGTAGTAGGCTTTTCTTGTTGAGAGAAGTCCCACCCTAGGTTTCTGAGCTCTTCTGATGAATGGAAACCATCCACTCGAGATACCTCACAAGAGGAAGAAAAACTTAGCTCTGTTTTCCCCAGTCTACTGTCTGGCCTGTTGGAGAAAGTAGTCTGTTGCCGAGACTTATTTGAGACACCTTCAAAATCATCAGAAGAATAAACTGGCAGCTCTTCTTGCTGCCTAGAAGCTATTTTGGCTTTCACTATTCCCTCAAAATTTGGATGACCTAGAAGGTCAGATTTCACGTCTGAATGACTTGTACTATCAACCCCATCACTCTGAGGATGAGCAATTTCAGACAGGTGATTATCTATTTGTTTTCGACTGGGCTGTGTAAAAGAAATTTCTGGATTCTTCTCTGCTCCTTTATGAAGGAAGAACTTCTCAGTTTGAGGACAGGCTTTACTTGCTATACTCTCAAATTTTTCCTCATATGAATGTCTCCTTGGCTCCAATCTCTCATCTTCCCAGTGGTCAGAATAGTGTCTGTAACTTTGACTGCTCCGAGAAGAACAAGGACTTGTTTCTTCCATGGGCAAAGTAGAATTTTTTGGCACAACCACAACAGATTGAAGACGGTTTCTTGGAATACTGCTATCATCAGAATCTGTATCTTCTGAATCACTTTCATCACTTGAACTTTCCGAAGAACCAGAATAATCTTCATGAACAGTAGACACAATCTCTGAGGCGTGACCACTACTGTCACATTTTAAGGTATATGTTACACCATCACTGTCCTCCATGGTTAAATTTAAATCACAAGAAGAAAACACAACTTCTGAATCATCAGAAGTATGTGCATGTCCTCTTCCACCTTCTTCATCTAAAGAGGTTTCTGGTCTTCCTCTTCTAACAGGCAATATGGAATTTCCTTCTTCTTGAGCCTCCTGCACACATTTCCCAGACAACCCATTATTATGCCTGTTTTCCCAGGAAGCAAATCCCCTTCCTGAATCAGGAAGGCCACTACCTACTTCTATTATTGTTTCTTTCTCTGCATGCTTTAAAAACTCTGCGCTTTTACTCTTCAGCACAGCATCCAAAACTGGAGATGTGTTCTCTCCACACTGCAAGAGAGTTAAACTGTCCACTTTTATTCCTGGTGGAAGATTCTGAAGAGATGAAGCAATACATGAGCTCCCTATAGGTTGATATAAATTATCAAAATGATTAACAGAAGTTGAACCAGTACTACCAACAGTCTCCTGATATTCACCACATGCAAATTTTGAGTGCTGATCTGTCAGATTTCTATTATCACACATTACTGTTTTCGATTTCAAATGCACATTCATAAAGCTATTTGAAGAAATCTTCGTAACTAAAGGATCAATATTTTCAGCTTCGGAATGACACAAAGAAGGGCGGTTGTTATTTGAAGTACAGTATATATCTGAATCTTTGGTTTTACAGCAAGAAACTCTCATGTCAACTGGCTCTTTAACTATTGTTTTGGAATAATCTATAGTCCTAACTGGCAAAGACATAAGTTTATCTTGGTGTGGGGACACCAGAGGTTCTGTTTCTCTAAAAGGGCTTTCTGACTTACTATGCTGCATGCAAGTATCAGTCAAGTCTTTTTCTTTACATCTATTAATATTCTGAAATCCATTTGATGAAACCATGCATGCTTTGACCAAAGGGGATACCTCCGATCCAGTCACACTGTCATCAGAAGACATCAAAACAGTGTCAGTTTTAGAAGTGCAAAATGTTGCCAAATCAGATTCTGCCCCAGGAGATCCATTTATATTTAATTCTGTGGGACAATAACTTCTTAATTGATCATTCTTCACTTTACATAAAGAGTTTAAATCCTTAATACTATCATGGCTATCTTGTCCTATAAATTCAGACTTAAAAATAGGCAATTCATCTGACTTTTTATAAGTAGGTGAATCATTTAATCGATTTGATGGAGATGGAGAACCAGTCTTTTCTCTTTCAGGAATTTTACTAATCATTCTTAAATCACTACCTTTTGAACAAGGAGTCTGTAAACTAAAAGAATGAGACTGTTTGATTTCCTCATTCAGTTCTGTACAACAGAAAGAATTTTTAAATTTATCAGACTTGGATATAGGTTTTGAAGGGGCAGATTTATAACGGGAAACACTGTTATCATGCTTGGAATATGATGATCCCCGTCGGAATCCCAGTTCATTAGGGGGAGAACATCTTTTCACTGCTTCATTTTCTGAAGTCCTTTTGGATTCTCTTTCTAATTTTGAAGAATACTTTCCTCTTCTCTCCATCTCTATGTAAGAGGACTCAGTTTTACAGTCCCGATCAGATTTAGAATAGGATGATGATGTCCTTAGGTCTCTGTAAGATGAGGAATGAGATGACGTTCTCCTTGAGTATGTCTTTTTATACTCATCTTCTGAGTCAGAACTCTCTCGTGCCCTGTTATCTGTATACAGCCGAGAATAGCGTGCCCTCTCTCGATAAGGGGAACTCCTATGGTAGCGACGATCAGAGTCGTAATAATGGGATCGTTCTGATCGGGAATAAGATGAACTAGTTCTAGAGCCTCTGTCAGATCTAGAACGAGATCTGCTCCGCCTTCGCTCTCTCTCTGATCTACAGCGAGAAGATATATACCGAGTATCTCTTTCAAGTTTTGAGTAGCTAAAATATTTATCATCTCTCTCTGTTTTAGATCGTGACGATTTCCCTAAATCCTCACTTTTTAAAGGTGCTAAGCTCTTTTTTGAATCTCTTTCTTTTTCAATGCTTGCTGAAAATTTTAAATCATGGGATCTTTGACTTGAAGAAGTCCGTACAGAATCTTCATCAGATTCTGAACCAAGAAAGGTGCCTTCAGATTGTGAGGATTTCTTCTTAGAACCTGTTTTTTTAGAGACCAGACTACTCTTAGAACTATCTGGAATTTCTTCCTTCCCAATATGGGAATCTTCTTTTTGTGAAGGAATATCTGTTTGCTCATTCAAATTTTGACTTACATGTTCTTCTGAACTATTGGATACAGAGTCCTGCTTAGTGTCCACTTCTGAAGATTCTGGTACAATTTTAACTGGTGGTTCCTTCAAGGCTCTAGTGGATACATCTACCGGTGCTGTCATCAGAACTGTTATTGGTGTGTGTGGCAAGGCCACTGGCTCTGTTACTGGTGCTGGTGATGGGGGTGTTGCAGCTTGGGGAGGTGGAGGTGGTGGAGGTGGAGATGAAGGTGGAGAGTCTACAGTTGTTGATTCTGCTATGATTGCTGGTAATGGTACTATGGGAGGAGGTGGAGACGCCACTGCTGTGGTAGCAGTCAACAGTGGCCTGGATGTTACATGAAGCAGATGTTTCTTAAAGTGAATTTTGCCCAATTCTACCCTTGATTTTGGTGGGGAAGATTCTTCTGCAGTAGTTAAGGTATCTCCAATGTCTGTTTTAATTTTAGGTGTTGAGTCTACTTGAAGAGGTACAGCTGGAGAGTTTGGAGTATCATTCTGCTTTTCATTCCCAAGTGCAGCCAGAAACCTGTTCTGCAAAGTTTTCTTTGTAAGGCTGAAGCTGAATGATACCTTCTGCCGTCCCTGTTCCTCCAAATTAACTTTTGTCTTGGTGCCTTTGGGCAAAAACCGACTAGAAGCAACACCTTTGAACATTGGTCCTTTGATGAAACCTGTTTTCTGCACATTTTCAATCTTTGCCTATAAATGAACAAAAAAAGCAGTTATTACTACAATAAAGTTCAGGCTAGCATCACAGTTTAAAATGTCAGGGAAATGAAAAGTCCTTTTTAATGACAAACAGCATGAATTAGACTAAGCTATATAAACATTTTTAAAAACTATTATGGAAAGTTTCAAATATACTCAAAAATATAGAGACTAGTATAATAAACCTCTAAGTACTCAGTCCCAGTTTCAACAATTACCCATATTTTTCCATTCTTTTTGTCTCTTACATAAAGAATTTTATCCAGTTTTATAACTATTTTGGAGGCAGAATTTTTAACGAGAATATTTTTTAAAATCTGATGTGTATTTCAAGATAATACAAAAGGACATGTGGATAGAGAAAAATAGCTAACATCTACCTCTGTAATGAAAACAGTTAGTTCTTGTGTTCTATCTGAGAAGAAACATCAGAAGTCATTATAACCAGTGGTCTCCTGGCATCACACAGAATCACTTAGGTGCTTGGCAGAAATACAGATCTATGACAAAACTCCAGGGAGTATCAATTCAACAGCTCTAAGGTGAACAAGAAAGTTTATTTTTTGTTTTTTGAAAATAAGCACCTCGGGCAATTCTGATGGACTTCCTAGATTTGGGAAACCACTGCTGCAGAGCAGTGTCCCATCTCACTCATTTCACAGATAAGGAAACCAAATGAGAAGCAGACCTTTCTGCCTTTCTGGAAATCACTCTGCCCTGGTACACTACTGCTGTGTCTGCCTGAGCCCCACACACCAAGGCCATGCTAATTTATAGTCTGATTCTACTGCAAGTAACAACTACAAAGAATATATCTAAGAAGACTTCTCCCTCCAAAATTTGCCAAACCACCAAAGGAAATGGTGAGCTTTAGAAGTTAAAGGCATAACCTAAGTTATAGAGAGAACATCAGAAAAATCTACACCAACAAACTCAAGCCTAAATTAAAGATGGTACATATGTCATCTACAACATTTTTCTGATTGATGGTCTTCAATCAACTCTGGCTATTTAAAAGAATAGTTTTCCCCTCCAATATGGTAAAATATGAAATTAGTTTTCAAAATTATGTAGCAACCATTTAAGTGGGACAGTAAATGTTTTCACATGCATTATCATACAGCAGGGTGGTCTTCAAATACTTTTTAAGAAAATGAATTCACTTTTCATATTAAACCTTACATGGAAACTCAATACATAAAAACAAGTAAAAAGCTGTCTCCAAAGTTGCCAGCTTCCTTTACCTTGACTAAAGCTCTTAAAGCTCCCAAGTTTAAAAACCAGTTTCCTGCCATAAACAACATCCCTCACTGAAATGAGTTACCATAGATCCAAAAACAAAATTAAGCGAAAACTATTACTTCATTTCACATTCAAAACGACAGCTACCTTTTGAATGTTTTCAATCCCATGATCACTGAATACCTAATTAAACTATACTTACCTCATTTTCTTCTTCTCTATTGCCATCCAGCCAAGGAAGCATGCAAAAGAACAAAAAGAAATCATAAATACTTAAAACTGATTAAAATGTAATTTTTTTTTTTTACTAAAACTTAGCATATCTACAACCTACAGGTATATTCTATGCAGATTGTCTGTTCCTTCTAGCCTCAGTTACATTTACTATAGCAAATAATTTAACGAAGATAGTGCCATGCACTGTGCTAGGTGGAGAGAAAAGGTGAATAAAGCCAAGTCCGTGCCCTCAAGAAGCTCTGACAGTTCCCTGTAAACACAATCTTGCTATAAAAGTAATTCCAACATAATGGAGTAAATACAAGGATAGAAATATGCACAGTGTAACAGCAAAGAGGAAGATAAGCAACTCAGTTGCATGGAAAGATAGGAATGCAAAAAATCATTTCTAAAGAAAAAAATAGTTTTTTGAAGAATATATTTGCAATGAGATCCTAAGCAGAGGAAAATCCCAGGCAATGCAGGTATAGAGATTAAAAACATAGAACAAATATGTGCAAGGAAACTATAAACAGTTCAGTATCACCTGAGTATAAAGTTTAAGGCAGAAAGAAGCCAATAATTAGGTGAAGTAGGAGGCAGTGGCCAGGTCTCTTATGATGAGAAACATTTTATCTTATGAATTAGCAGTTCTCAACATGTTCTGGTGTCCATTCAACAGTCCCTTTGTTGAAGGCAAGATATACATTCTGCTCCATAGCAGAGCATGCAGCGCTCTTAAGCTCACAGTTACATTCTAGCAAACGTGACCACACTGTGTTCCAACTGAGGAATCAGAAACCAAAAGTCTGGTGCACACCAATGTGTTAAAGCATACAGGGGAAAAAGAAGGTACAGAAGGGCTGTAGGATATGACAGCCAGATTTGCATTTTAAGCAGGTCACTCTGTAGGCTATACGGCAAGACTGGAGTACAATAATCTGTCTTAAATGCCCTTTAAAAGAAATGTACAAAAAATTCTTTCCTTAAATGTAGGCTCAACTCCACCATAATTCAGTCCATTCACCAGTGTTCACGGTAGCCATACAAAACGAAGTAATGAAGGGGAAAAATCCTGGCAATACATGGATGAGATCTGAAGTAGCACCAGGGTTAAACACTTTGTCTTCTTCAAAATCACTTAACACTTCACAGATGTGATCTTAGAACCACCACATTTCATCACTTCTATGATGTAGAGTTTCCCCATATGTAACACCTCTGCAGGATGCATCATACTATCAAAAATATCAGTTTAACTGCCAGAGTTTTTGCCTTTATGAATCCTCTAGTGATTCATAAAATAATTCTGTCTTACAACCTACCTAGATTTTAAATTAGTACCATGTGAAGAAAAAAAAAACAAAACAGAAAAGGTACCTGTAGATATCCAAGCATTTAGAGTATCATTCGTATTTGTATCCCTCTTTTCAGTGGACATTTAAAAGCATTCATGCTTGTCCACATAATATACATATACACAAAGTGCTGGAAATTCAGAGGTTACCAGAACCCTTTCCTAAGCCTCAGCACTTCTACTTTGCACAAACAAGTGAAAAGACTAATCCTGACAAACTGTAATGAAAGTCATCCCATGGTCAAAGGACTGACGAAATACTAAAATGTGGGATTTGGACAGGGAAGTGAGGGGAAGAAAAAAAGTTTCATTTCAGAAATCAGAGAATTGCTTTACAGAGATAGCAAGGCATTTCCCACAGTTTGGTAATTTTTCGAAGTTTGTAATAAAAAGAATCTAAAAACACACACACAAAATTTGGGGGACAGGGGAAAATATCAAATATTTCTCATCTTAAAAATATTTCATGCTAATGGAGAAAAATCAAATTATAAACAAGCAAAAAAAATAAATAAAGTCCACAAACCAATCCATCCAGAGACAACTGCTGTTAACACACTGGTCTATAGAGCTTTCTAACATTTCTTTTGTGTAAATGGGCAGGGGGGTGGGGTGGGGGAGTTGTGTGTGTATGTGTTTGTTTAAAACAGAGATCTTTGTTTTCTTTTTTAAGTACAGTAATCATACCACATGCATCATTCTGTATCCTTCCTTATCATAAATACAGCAAGTAAGCAAACAAGGTTTTTAGATCAAAGAAAAAAACATGGAATCACTACAAAAGATTGAGGAGGGAATGATCTTGAGAGAAGGGGATACAGATGAGTGAAGATACAGTTAAGTTTCAAAATAAAACAGGAATATCTCTTTTGGCCTGTATGTCTCTCTGACATCATTAGATGAGAGTTAGAGGAAGGGACAAGGTAAAAGACTTGAAAATTCAAGTATGGGGAACAAAAATGGAAGCAGGCTATAATCTTCAATGTTCCTGCCAAAGTTGGACATGACTAATTTATAACAGGGCTCGTCAGCACACTTATTCTACTTCTGCTGGCAGCATTAGGCTATCTTGAAGCAATGAAAGGCAACAACTGGTGAGTTACTCCAGCAAGCTGGATGGGAAAAAAAGAGGTAGAAGGCAAGAGGTTAAGAGAATTGAAGGCATTCCCCAGAATGTTGAAATGACTTACCTAGAGATCAACAGATAATAGAGTAGGGAGTGAAATATGAAGGAAGCTGATAAACTGAAGGAACGGAGCAGGGACAACATACCAGCAGCTTCAAAGAGTAGATTTGGTGGAAACCAGACAGAGAAGTAGAAGGATATGGTAAAAGAATTGGAAATTATGGTCAGAGTAATATTTTAGAGTTGGGGTACACTTAGTGAGAAGACAATACACGGCTGTGGCTATGGGAGTAGACTGCCACAACAGTAAGAGGATAAGCCCTTTGTGAAAACATTAATGAAATTGTGAGGCCATAATTAATAGCAAGAATCAGCCACAAATGTTTTTAATAAAAGAATACCTTCTTTGGTAAAAAATACAAAATAACGTCAAGAGCAAAGAATAGGGTTTTTGAAGGAAGGCTGATGGAACAAGGGTATGGAAGCTAGAGCCAGGAGTACTGAGCCTCCTGTGCCGCCCACCACAAGAAATAAGGAGGTATGCAAAAACACGCATTTAACTCTCTAGCATGAGATCCTACTAGAATGCCTTATTTGTTGCTTTGAAAAGCTACTACAGAAGAAAAACTAGAGGAATACCACAGCCAGTTTTCTGTCAAAATGTACAATATGTAGATCTGCAGCTTACTGAAGAAGTATATATAAAGAATTTTGATTAATCCATGTCAACACAAAGACAAATCTCTATTAGGTCACAGGGTACATGTGGAAAAAGATTTGAGAGTATTAGTCATAGCAAGCTCAAAGAACCAACATGCTTATTAAAATCAACCAACCAATGAAGTTCTTAGGCTAGGACATAAGAAGTAAAGTTTCCAAAAGGAGGCCTAGTATAATGAGATTTGATAAATATAAGCAAATTGGATGGAAAAGGAATCTATTCTAGATACCATGTCATATAAGAAATAGTTATAGTCAAATGAAAGTATTTTTATTTACTGTGGAAAAAAGACAATTTACAGGATCATAGTGATTTATTTCAAAATATCAGACAACTTAGAAGATAAAATAGTCTTATTTTGCACAATTCCAAAAGTTAGACCTGTGACCAACAGAAGTACAGAATGATAGATTTTAGCTCATTTTAAGTTAGAACATTTTAAATTAGTTTATTTATTTGAAAAAGTAATACATACAAACAAGGGAAAACTTTATCATACAGAATTATAGAACTAAAATTTGATCTCTACCCAGTGGCAACTATTGTTAAGTTTTGTACATCCTTCCAAAAACTGTGTGCATATATGAGCATATATATCCTTTTAAAGGAAAAAAGACATACACAAATAGAAACATACCTTTCTGCACCTTGTTTTCCTCCACTTAAAGCCTTGGATATCATTACATAGCAACATATTTAGACATAGCTTCAGTTGTAGTTTTACAAGCAAAACAGCTTTTCACGTTGTAAGTCATTGGTATTTTCTTTTTACTGGGAAGTGCTTTTTTGGGTCCTCTGTCAATCAATTACCTATTGAGTTGCTGGTCTTTCTTAACTGCTTTCTAAAAACAAGATGTGAGGAATCTGGACCTGGAATATGTCACTGTACAGGGGTACTTAAGTTTCCTTGTCATCAGAAATGTTTAAGAAGAATCTGGATGAGAACTTACCTGAGATGAGATAGAATTCCTGTTCTAGATGTAAGGCTACAAGTGAGGCCCTTAGAAGTCTCATTCCAGGCCTTCAGTTTATTGAATATCCTGAACCACAAATCAGAAAAGACCATTTTACTTTATCTTGATTTTAATAAGTAAAGACTTTAAAGATTCACTCCTACCTCTTCTTTAACAATTTCTTACTAAAACTCAAATACTCCTCAAATACTTAAAGACAGTATTTCTCACATCTGAGTGACATATGGATAGCCTCTTTTAAAGGGAAAAAAAATTGTTAGATATCTAGGAACAAATCCTAATTTAAGAACACTGACTTAAGAAACTAAAATTAGTCTATTAAAATTTATTTTACATTTGACCCTAGCACAACACGGGAGATTAGGGGTGCCAAACCCCAAACCCCAGAGTCGAAAACCCAGATATATGTTTATATGTAGCTTAACTACCCTCCATATCTGCATTTCTGCATCTACAGATTCAACCAACTGAAGATTGTGTAGTTCACATTATGTTGTGCGTATTTACTGAAAAAAATCCACATATAAATGGTCATGCAGTTCAAACCCCATGTCGTTCAGGGTCAACTGTACTTGAAAATTACCACTGAAAAGTAATGGTAGTTTTCAAGTAAAACAGATTTTGAAACTTAAAAATAGTTGTTAAGGTCTGTAAATTAGAAAATAGTATTATATCAATGTTACTTTCTTGGCACTAATAGTTGTACAGTGTTTATATAAGAAAATGTCTTTGTTTTACAAAGTCCCACTCTACAGCACAGGGAACTATAGACAACGGCTTGTAGTAACCTGTAATGAAAAAGTGTATTATATATATAACCAAATCACTATGCTGTACACCAGAAAGTACTACAACACTGTAAATCAACTATTCTTCAATTTTTTTAAAAGTTAAAAAAAAAAGCTTATGAAATATCCTTCCAAAAAAAAGAAAAAAGCAAGCTATGGAGGGCGGGGGCAGGAGAGTATAGCTCAGTGGTAGTGTGTGCTCAGCATATATGAGGTCCTGGGTTCAATCTCCAGTATCTCTGTTAATAAATAAACAAATCTATTTACCCTTCCCACCAAAAAAAAAAAAAAAGAATTCTAAGAAAAGAAAGAAAGCTATCTGAAGAGTATGGTTTCACTAAACATTTGTCTGTAGTAAAAAAAAAAACTAATCACCAAGACCTTTTATTAAAATAAACATTTGATCTAACATCAAACAAACAAAAGAAAATGTCCTTGTTTTTAGTAAATACATACTGCAAGACACAGGGGTAAAAAGGCATCGTATCTGTGACTTTCCCTCAAACATTTCAGGAAAAAAAAGTAATAATGTGTGTGTGTACGGAAAGAGAGTAAGTGGGAAAATGTTCACATTTGGGGGATCTAGATGAAGGATATATAAGAAATCCCTATTGGTTTTGAAACCATTCTGTAAGTCTGAAATTATTTGAAAAATAAAAATTACTTCTTCAACTTAATACAGCGTGAAAACCTTTTTAATATCCTCATAAGAGTCCTTCACTCCTTAAGAATTTATTTAAAAAAAAAAGATTATGAAGAGTCTCAGAGATTCTTGAGCCTCAGCTGGAGAAACACTACCTCAAATCTTTCTAAATTCATATTCTGATAGGCATTGATTAGAATAAGCTACATTAAAAACTAGACTCTATAATAAACAGAGTATAAAATTGCAGAGGCAGGGTTTTATGAAGAGGTGAAAATTCAGGATAAAAAAGAACTCGGTCACTCTCTCTTGCCTTCTGAGATGGCCCGCACCCTGTCTATAGTATATCCACTTTAAAATAAACACCCCCCACACCTCATGGCCTCTCTGGCCTTCTTACAGCCTACACTCTTGTCTATGGAGTGTGTATCTCGCTGAATAAATCTACTTTCACTCAAAAAAGAAAAAAAAGAAGGAAATAAAGAAAAGAAAAAGGACAGGAGAACTGGTTGATAACAAAAGGAAGGAAGCCAACAATGACAAAACTGAAGACTATTTCATAACATTGCTTATAACACATCCTAGCCAAGAGGTAAACTTCAATTAGTACTCTGAGCTCTCAAGAAGAAAATTCTGTAGCTTGCGGTATATACTCAGTCCCAAGCAATATTCATGGAGAAATACTTACAGGGAACCCTTCTCAAGTACTAAGTAATTATCCTCAACATTAGGAAAGAAATGGAATTTCACAACTCTAGCCATCCTCCTTGCTCCCCTCAATTTGTTTCCCTTTTAGAGTTTCTAAATCTTTGACCTGCTCCCAACAAATACAAATGAAAGTATCTGTCACAGTTAAAAAAAAAAAAAAGTCAGAATGAATGCACTGAAGTCATGTATGTTTTGACATTAACACATTTAGGCACTTAGAACGTCATACACTCAAGATTTAAAATGCCTCAGATCTTCAATGATATGGAAAAGCACATTAGGGGGAGAGTATTCATAAGTAAAACTTTAATCACCAAAGATCACATCTACCTAGTTCACTGCTTCGCCTATGGTCATACACATTTGCAAACCTCCTCTAAACAAAATGAGTTCATCCTTCTGTAGGCCAAGGTTTTGGTAGAGAGTAGGTGTCTTTACTACCATGAGTTAGCTAGGCCTAAGGTAAATGTGGAGACTGCATCAGAAAGTATCTTTTGCTAGCATACAACTACACTGATGGATTGACATATGACTTATTTTAGAAAAGCAATGCTGTTAACTCTAAGTACCAGTACTCATATCAATTACAAGGCTATTTGTGCCACAATTATTTAAGGATCTACTCCACTGAAGGCAGGCTTGGCTCTGCAATGGCAAGATGTCAAGTTCACAGTCCTCACACCATCAGGAATTTCATGCTTTTTGAAGTAATATGGCACAGATTATGCCAAATAGCTATAACACAAGGTAATAAATAATTATTGCTGTGAATTAAATGACTAATAAAGTGCTTTTTTATTAATTCTTCTTTTTTCAGTTTAACTTAGTCTCACTTTCCTGATTCTCCTTCATGAAAGCACACTTTCTTTAGTATTTATTACTTTCCCTATTCGGATGGCAATGTAACAGAGCGAAAAAATCAAACTTTGATACCTAGGTTAGAATCCTATCTTTACATTTATCACCTATGATTTCTGCCATTAAATTCCTTTTCCTACTCTCCTAGATGCCTACTTCACACATTTCCCTATCCAACATCTCGGTCACCACCAACTCCCCAGCCACTCTCAACTGAGGATCTCACCATTTTGCTCAGTATCCCACCTCTTGCCTTCTCAAGGACTTTCATTTCCTAATTAATTCCTTTTCTTCTGTTGTCAGTCTCTGTCATTCTCTCTCTCCACTCTCATTAGTCAAATTTTTAAATGCCTTACTTGAAAAAAAAAGGGCAGGGGGGCCAATGGTCAATTTCTTTTTTGGGCTTTCACAGGCCACATTCTCCTGTTTTCTTCCTACCCTCATGGCTACTCCTCCTCAATCTTATTTGTTCACACTTCCTATTCGCTCTTCCTATTTTATTTGTTGCCTTCGTGTTGGAGTTTCCCAAAACTTGATCCCTATTTGGCCTTCCTTCTCTTTCCATCTACTCTTTTCCCTCCTACCTTATCTAATCCAAATTTATGGCTTTAAGTATCATCTGTAGACTGGTGACTTCCACAGCTCCAAACCAAACCTCTCTCTGTACTTATTTACCCAACTGCTCACTGGACATCTCTACTTGGATCTAATTTATCTCAAATGTAACATGTCAAAATGGAACTAAAGATTATTCCATACACTCATACACCGATTGCAATGACTGTTATATACACATATTATAAATTTACATAACAGGAGAAACATTTACATCTTTCAAAAGCTTAAATCACATCACAGCACATACGTGCTTCTCTCTGACTTTACCTCTTTTCACAGTCCCTCCTCCTCATTCCCTAGGTTCTAGCCACATTAGCCTTCTTTCTGTCCCTCAAACATTCAAGCTAATTTCTAACCTTTTTACCTGAAGGTTCCTTTTTAGAATATAATTTCCCCTAATCTTTGACAGACTGCTCCTTCTCAATAATGAAACTCCAAATGTTATCCCCTCTGATATTCTTCCATCATTCTATCTTATGGTACACCTTATTTTATTCCTAGCATTTGTCAATATGAGATTTTTTTCCTTCATTTTGTTTTAATGTAGTGCCCATTTCATCACACTAGAATACAAGCTGTTTTAGGGCAAGGACTGCATTTATCTTGTTCACAGCTGCATTTAAGTGCCAAAAGCTATACTTAGAACATAGGAAGTACTCAGTAAATATTTAGCTGGCATCAGCATACCCACTTTTCTATCTAGCTGAGCTTGTTCTACACTACTCCCCACAAAAAATTTCAATATTTAAGATGGTCTCCTCTAAGTTCAAACATAGATCAGTCTTGACGTCAATAATTTTTCAGACTGCTCTTCATTCTACCATCTTCTTCCCTCTCCAAGCCTCTACACACACGTTATCACTTCCCAGACTCATGTTAATCCTCTCAGCCACATTTCACTTGACAATTACCTGAGCGCGTACTATGTACTCAGCACTACTATCTTTTCTTTATTTCTAATGCCTTTTATTAACATTCCATACACTATTACTAAACTCAACTCCTACATCATATACTTTGAAGAATGACAATCACATACTTTGACTTGCATTTAGTGTTTCTGACTTTCCAAATAGAGTTTAAGCTACAAAGAGACAAAGGTTTTCTTGTCGTTACTGTATAATCGCTGGGTATACCATTCCCATTCCTATCTAAGTTCTCATTACTTTCTGAATCAAAGAAATTCCCTAACAATAGTACCCAGGTTATAACTTTATCATTTCAAGCAATTCTCAGGGGAAAGACCTCAAAACTGACCTGTGGAAAAAACAAGTCACGTGGGCCATAAATTAATTTATAGTATCTGCCATACTCTCATCCAAGAAATAGGAACCATGAAGACAAGTAAATTAAAACACTGATGAGAAATATATATGATTTATGTGGACAATAAAGCCATGTATACCACTGCTTTTTAACAAAGGCCTGGAAACTTTAGGCAAACCACTTTGGAATGAAT